CCCCCCCCCCCCCCTCTACGCTCGACCGATATGACCGCGAAGAGCTGTCGATTCTACTCGTAAAACGAATCCAGGAGCGCTATGCAACCCCCTTCCGGTATACGCAAAATCGCACGAATCGAGCTGTCTCGCACTTGTGACGAGCGCCCTTTGGCTGCCACGTCACAATATATAGTATAATACAATTTCTTTAACTTTTCAAAATAAGCGTTTGTCTTGTGATGACTTCCGTATTTAAATTGAATTTTTTTTCCAACGAGCCATTTCTTCATGTTTAGGAACAGGAAAAAGTCACTGAGGGTTAAATGCAGTGAGTATAGTGTGTGTCGCAGCAATTCGAAGTGCAATTTATGGAGTTTTGCAATTGCAATTGAAGAGATGTGAGCGGGTGCATTGTCGTAATGGAAAAGCACTTTTTTCTTTGCCAATGAAGACGTTTGGTCTTAATAGCATTGTTCAGTTGCTCCAGCAATGATGTATTCTCCGTTGATGAGTTTGCTTTTTCTTAGATAGTCTATGAGCACCACCTCCTGCGAATCCCAAAAACAATCACCTTCCCGGCTGATAGAATTGTTTCTGCCTTCTTTGGAGCACTTCCATCCGCTTCCATTCATTGTTTGGACTGTTGTTTCGTTTCTAGCGTGTAGTGATGAATTCATGTTTCATCAACGATGACTAAGTTTACACGACTAAGTTTAAAACCTGCTTAGTAATAATCGTATTTAGTAAACTCTCGCATCCGATTGGTATATTCTTTTAGATCTAGAAATATACTCCAATTGGATTCAAGAGTTCATTAACTACGGTTACTAAACCGGTTTTAAGCTGCTGTGTAAACTTAGTCAGCGATAAATTTGATACCCCTGGTATCATTTCTATGTCAAGCCGAGAACTTTTCGAACTACCCTCGTATTGTGGAGAACATTAAGACTTTTTTTTTGGTGAGGCAGGAGAAGTGTTACGCATATCTGCGATCCTCTGGGGAGAGTCACGAATTATGTGAGACTTTCCCTCTTCCCAGCAAAGACTGAGAAGAGGGCTTACCCACTAAAACCCCTGCCGGGTGTCTCCTGGTGGGATATAGTGGGGAATCATGGGGACTGTTGTTGCCATTACTTCTCCGGCTTCCCGCCCCTGGGGGACCTAGTCGGCGCTTTTCTGCGCTGGTCCTCCATTTATACGAAGAGGTGGCAACGTGGCTCACTGCCCGGGTTAATCTTCTAGAGGATATTAAGATTAATTTAACGCACTATTTGAAATGCTATTTTCATTGATATTATTTAATAATTTTGTAATTATATATACACACACACACACGCGCGCACGCACGCGCACACACACACACACACACACACACACACACACACACACATACAGGGTGTCTGACTCGTACTGTACCAGAGCTAATATATAGCTAGAATAGGTCGGTGTGAGTAATGAAACGGGTGTCTTTTTTTAAACAACTACGTGAAATTTTGAGATATTAACAACGAAAGATTTCTACCGAGCGGCAGCCCACTGAGCAATCAGCACACGCGCTGCGGTGAGACAAACGCTATACGCGCTGTAGCATCGGCATGACAGACTAGCCGGCCTAACCTCTTAGCAACGCGTTTTCCTTGTTGCTAGGAGGCTGGGCCGGCAAGTCTGTCATGCCGTACAGCGCGTACAGCGTTTGTCTCACCGCAGCACGTGTGCTGATTGATCAGTGGGCTGCCACTCGGTAGAAATCCTTCGTTGTTAATATCTCTAAATTTCACGTAGTTGTTTAAAAAAGACTCCCGTTCCATTACTCACACCAACCTATTCTAGCTATATATTAGCTCTGGTACGGTACGAGCCAGATACTTTGTGCGTGCGTGCGTGCGTGCGCGCGCAGGATGTCCCGCGTAAAACGTGCTAAAAAAATATAAATATATATATAATTAATTTAATTTCATAATTAACTTGATTTTGTAATTAACAATTAAATTTCAGTCTAATTTAATTTAAGTTGGCATTATTTAAAATAGTAGTACGTATTCTATTATTATTCAAACTTTGATAAAATCGTGAACATCGTTACTACTATGAACATCTTAAATATACGGAGTATATCAGAACTAGTGGGAAAGCGAGAAGGAAGTGATTTTACTTGAAAAAGTAAGTGAAAAATGTAGAATAAAAATTTTTTTATATAAGACACTCTTTGTTTTCCAGAAAAACAAACTTTGAATATTTATCAATATGTGTACATTTGACAGAAAGATTTTTGTTTTACTTTTTCGATCCATCTTTTTGTGTAAAATCACCTTCCTTACAAGGAGATGACGCCAACTGTAAAATTGATTTCGGGACGAAACATAGCCCATTCGATAGCCGTAATATAGAGTATGAAAACCCTAAAAGGGTTTGGGTGAATGGAACTTCGTTTTCGAAATATTGCAGTACAAAGTGAGAGTCACGGAACCGTGCCCCATATAAGGCATAACGTAGCATGGCTTCTCACTAAAGTGGTGTAGCTAAGCAGACTAAAGGGCCATGTACAATTGGTTTAGCAATAGACAGTAAGACGTAAGCAGTAAGCGAGTTGACTAGCCACAGTCGATTATTACAACAATAATCGACTATGATTGGTCAATTTGTTTACTGCTTACTGCCCACTGCCAATCTCATAGTAGATGGGCCTTAAGGCTCTTGCGCCGACGGTAAGCGTTTGAGTCCGGCCTACGAGGCGACGGCGTGCAATGTTTTTTTTTTTTCGTACTGTCGGACATATATGTATAGCTGTAATATATATATTTGTATTTCTGTGTCAATGTAATTGTTATGTGAGCAATTAGGGTAATGCACGTTATAGTAATGGAAAATAATGTGAAAACATACTGTTTACAATCATTGTAGACATAATGTGTTGAATGTTTTGCACATAATATGAAAAAAATAAATATATAATTCGTAAATATACAAGTCGTATATGGGCAGGGAAGTATCCTAGCAGACACGTTATATAACAGTTACAAGTCAAGTAGGAAATTACAACAAACATTTTGATATTTGTTTGGATATTTGTTTTGATATTTGAGGCTTTTGTACGTATGTTGTATGTTAAGTGTTACAATGTGTTTGCTGGGATACTTCCCTAGTCATATACGACTACCTTGTTCGAATATATTTATTTTTTTCATATTATGCACAGTGCGAAACGTTTAACACATTATCTACAATAATTGTAAGCAGTATGTTTTCACATTATTTTCCATTACCGCGACGTGACATTGCCCTAATTGCTCACATAACAATTACATCAACACAGAAATACAAAAAATATATAATACAGGTATACATATATGTCCGACAGTACAAAAAAAAAAAATGCACGCCGTCGCCTCGTCAGACTCGAACGCTCGCCGCCGGCACAAAAAAGACCCGCACAAGAGTCTTATACTGCAATTCTAAGTAGAATCGTAAGTCTCGTAACTTGTTCTCGTAAAATTCATAAGAATTTATGAGTAGATTTACAATTGTATGCAATATCATATGTCGTACAATCACTTATAAATATCGTAAATTACATGAAATCGTAAATATTTACAAGTAATTGTGCTATAATATAATATTGCATAGAATTGTAAATCTATTCATAAGTTTTTACGTATTTGACGAGACTTACGATTCTGTTTAGAATTGCAGCATTAGTCTGCTCAGCTACGCCGCTTTGGTGAAAAGCCGTATTACATTATGCCTTATATGCGGCACGGTTCCGTGACTCTCATTTTGCATCGCAATATTTCGGAAACAAAGGTTCATTCACAAAAGCCTTGTAACGACGCGTAATTAATCGTTACTAAAAAAGTACAACAACGCAAGCCGAACACCGCGAACCGAAAGCGCAAGAGGACAGCGCGTCCTCCAAAACAATAAACAGCGCGACCGCCGAACAACAGCGGTAAATAGCGAATCAAGCGAGATTCGAGGTATATAAAATTCCGCGTAATCGTAATCGACAGATTTCGATCATCCGCTCTCGAAAGAGAATCAGAACCGATCCACCGCTCTCGAAGGAGAATCCGATTCCGATTATCCGCTCTAAGAGAGACCGACTCCGCTCCTGGCAGATTATTGTTCGTCGATTGGCGACTGTAGTC